AATGATATTTTTAAACGCTATAATTTGGATGTACTTTGCACATCACAAATCAACTTATGAACAATTTTACTGCTGCGCATCGTGCCAGTAAGTCAATCTTGTAAATTGTTTTATTTTAATATCATTAAGGGAATAGATTTAAAAATAATGTAAAATATACAAGGTGTCTCAGATTAATCGTATCAGCCATTAATAATAGATTTCTGAGGTTTTTCATATGATAAGAATATAAAAAGCAATATGTGACCTGCTTGCGCGCTTGAATTTTTGACTATCTGTTCGATTTATCTTTCACTATTGTACATTTAAAAATTACTGTAGCCTCGAGCTATTTTGATATAAAAATTTTCGTTCTTAAATGATCTCAGGAATCTGCTATTAATAGGTGACAGTTGGTCTGAGTCTGTATATACCTGAACTGTAAACTATGTACTCACTAACACATTACATGATACATTTACGCTCGTCAACAGTACTATTTTTAGCAATTAGTTATCATTGTTTTCATTATTGTCATCACATTACTGTATTATCCATTATCATTATTATTTATATTATTATCTATCGATATTATCATTATTGATATTATTTTTATTACGATTTATTAATATTATCTTATAATTGTAATTTTTATTTTTATTATCGCTATTTTCGTGACAAAGAGAAATTGTACGCTTGCATTCGTATTTATGTACCTTAATTATATGTACATAATATTGTACAAAAAGAAAATGCACAAAACTTGCATATTAATCGTATATATAAGATCGGCTACTTTTATTTTCTAAAATAATTCGTAATTTATAATTTACACGAGATCGATGAACACAATACGCGTGTATTCATAGGGAAACTTCGATAGGAACCTCAAAATGTATATATTTAAATAATAATTTTTTCTTTAGATTTAAGACTCGTTTTATACGCTCTTTTATGTTCTCAAAAATTTGTCGAATAAACCATGCTAATTGAATGAAAAAAAAAAATTATTTTAATTTCTCGTAGATATTCTAGAATATCTAGACTCATCGTGAGAGAATTTCCATTAATCCATTCTTTCCATTCCAATAATCGATAATAATAATTTTATAAGATGCCGTTTTCTCAATTTGTACATACATATCGTATCTGTGAACACACTTGTATATATCTCCTTCCATGTATATAAAATTAGGAAACAAGACAGTTACGTTTTACTACCAGTGGCAATTCATATTGATCTTTATGCGAGTAAAACGTGATTGTTGAAATTTTTATCCATATTAGGAACATACAATAGATAAACAAACGAAATCCCATACGTGGACAATTTATCTTCCGATAATCCTTGAAATAGCGAAGATGCCGAAACTTCAATAACTTCAATAACGAAAAATAAAAATAAAATCTTAAATTCTTTATAGCTGAGCAATAATAATCTTCGTTATTTCATTTTTAGCTTTTGTCATTAATTTGTGGTATAGTCGCTAGCAAACGAACTAACAATAAGTATCCAGAAAACATACATTTTTGGACTCTGCGAATGTGAATGTGTTTCAATAGCAAGAGAACACGATCTAAAGAACCCTGAAATTCTCGTAAACCCTACAATTTCCGCATTTTCCCCGTACTTTAAACGTTACGCTCAATCGCAAAAAAAAGACATTCTCTAACTTGTTGTTCTCAACAGGGGCACGAATCCACTGGCACCGGACGCAGTGGACTTAACGCAATTGACTTCTGTCAGCGAGTGGCTGGCTTCTATCAAGATGTCGCGATACGCGGAGAGCTTTGAGCGGGCGGGTGTGACGACGTTGGAGGCAGCGGCGCGTGTCACCGTCCAGGAACTCACAGCCCTCGGCATAACACTCGTGGGACACCAGAAGAAGATCATGAACAGCGTGACGGCGTTACGGGCGCAAATGTCCGCCACTTCGCAAGGTTTTCTCGTGTAATCGCGACCGCGCACTCAAGTCCCGCGAACGAATCGTATGTAAAAATCGGCTGATCGACACGGAACTTCAACTACCCTATGGATCTCACGAATTCCCGCTTTTTTGAGGCGCCCCGACGCACGCCGTCCCTCCCCGACGAGAAAGCGAACCGCGGGAGACGACGACCCGTGTATCGTCTAGGACTCGTGATTACCTAGTCAGAGCGACGATGTCCTCGAGAGATTATCTCCTTCGCGCGCAAGTAGATCCGGTACTAAACTCCAAACGGCAGTTGGCTGAAGTGAAAACCTCACGCGGCACCTCCGAAACCGAATGCCGTCTCAATTTAATCGAGAGACTCACAGCACAGCACGTGCTGCAAACATTCCATATGGGCGAGAATCGAGAGAATTCGCATTTACAAGCTCCCGTTGGAACGATCGGGAGCACGAGGACCATGCATTCATCATCTCGCACTTAAACCATATACAACGACTTATTGAACTCGTAGAGAGAGAGAGAGACACTTACCGCGAAATTTTCGCGTAACAAATATCTATAAGTGTCAAAAGAATCACCGTAACCCGAGCGTTACGGAAATATCACGAAGCTCGTCCGGATCAGGACGTCCTGAAGGACTCTCAACGGGATCAATGTAACACACCGAAGGACACATCCTTACAACGAGCGCCTATTCTATATTGCGTTTTCTAAGGCCGTTTCCGTGACCGATCTATCTAAAGATCAGACTGACGACGGAGATAAACGAGCTATCCTTACAATCACTGCCGCAAAATTCTAGACTTTTCGTACCAACGAGCTTTCTTAGTTGGAAATATCTGTGCTTATCGCAGAATCTTGTATATTTTTCCTTGAAAACTTTAATTGTGAGATTTTAAACTAAAATCCTTCTTCTTTTCTTTTTCACTATTCGTCGCGTTCGCTATATTTCGTGACATTTTATACTAAATGGCAGCTCCTTTTAATACATATGTATCTGCGATACGTAACATGTACGGCAAATTACATGTCGGCCTAAATATCGTTCGAGCGCGTCTGCTCCCGGCCTCGCTTTGCTAAGTATACTAAAGTTACGTCTCTTTGTAACGATCGATATAGTAATATACGCGCCTGATATATAGGGAGAAACGACGATTAGAGAAGTAGAGAACCGTATACACACGCGAAAGTGTATCTGAAACGGATCGTAATAGTTTCCGAGATTTCATCGATAGCGTGACAACAACGTAGGTCCATTATTTCATGAATGTAGCGAATACAGTACACTTATACGTATGTCGCCAATGCACAACAATCGAGAACAGAAGCGAATCACGAATGAGAGAGTGGACTGTTAGCGAGACGATATTATTAACTCTTTACGGTTCTTTGCCTTTGCGTTACCTATATAAGAGTGCCGTATGCGCCGGTCTATATAGATATATCTTTCGATTATAACGGAAAACGACGAAATACGAACAACAAAGCGGACATGTGCCAACGCGAGTGTGCAAAAGTTATTTTAGCGCGAGACTGCGTGAGACGAGATAAATGAGAGAACGCGAGAGGATGCGTGAATGCGAGCGCGAATGAAATTGCGTCGGTGAATCTGTAGCCCGCCTCTTTCGCGCTATATTCGTATGTACACGAGCGTGCAATCACGAAATTATTCTATATACGTATAAATATAAATATTGTATTATAAAAATACGCGAGACATTTCGATCAGAAAGGAACGAACGGCGAGAGACTTTCTGTCGATAGAAGGAATCATTTAACGAGAAATCGCGAGATTGCGTCAGATCGCGATAGACACGATGTGTAGGAAAAACAAACAGTATCAAACGCGTCCCTTTACTAGCAAGCAATGCGTCAACATATCAACATTATTCGCAATGCAATGCGAGCGCAAAAAGGGAAGTTCGCGTGTTACTTGAAATCTCGAGCGACTGCAATTGAATGTCAATCATTCTTTCCTCGGGTTTCTAACGAATGACGAAAGAGAAAAACCAAGCCGGAAAAGAGAAAAATGTAAAAAAAAAAAGAAACGTAAGCGTAAAGTCGGAAGTATAAGTTACGCGGACGAAATACGTATACACGCGAGCGACGATGCGACGATATTCATCTACGGATGATAGCACTTTTTGATTTTCACCGCCCGATCGAGGAGTCTCCTTGCGAAGCAACGTCCATTCCAATATACATATATCCGTAATAGAGAATTTTTTTCTTAGAAGACGAGAGAGTGAGAGAGAGAGAGAGAGAAAGAGAGAGAGCGAACGAAAAACTTGCTTCACGTATCTCGTTGCACCCGCATTCGCTAATCGTAAAGACTGCTTCTCGGGTCGCAATACGCACAACCCGGGATACACACGTTACCGGCGACTTGTCCTTAAAGAGAAAGACCAACGGGGCAGCAGATATATATATATATATATTATATACATACGAAAATATTACGCGTGAGATTAAAAACGGCTTCCAAGTGAGTCCGGCGAGCCGCGGAGAAATTTTTTTATTTTCTAATTTAACGATTTAATGCTAGTGATGTAGTCGAACGACGTCGAAGCGACGGCTGGACGGCGGCGGATGAGAGCGGAAGGCGCGCTTCGAGAGACGAGATTTCGCGCTCAACGAGATATACAAACGGACAACGATAAAGCGAATTCCTTCGCGGCCAGCCAATTCTCTACTCATTGCCCTCCCACACCTTTCTAATCGCGAAGAGATGAAAATCGCGCCCGCGAAGCGCCGATTGAAATCGATCGATTTCACTTCTGTCTCAAAGCGTGATCCAACGGCGCTTCGATTATTCTCCTCGTAAACAAGATATTGCTCGAGATCACGTTCCGAGCGTTCGAAATATGTCGAGATACGCCCTGGTGTCTTTCGGTTCGCCGTGCTTTCTTTCGCGTTCGTTTCGAAGGAGAGAAAGAGAAACGAAAAGCGTCGCGGAAGGTCGCGTGGTGAGAGCAAAATCCCTTAGGAAAAACAAAAAAAGAGAAGACTACTGAGAACGGCGATGATTAAGAAGCAATAAGTGAATACACGCAAATGCAGATTTTTATATAGAGAATGTTAACAAATTTCAGAAGATATTAATTATATCGATAGCGCTATCTTCCTAAATGTTCGTATTAAAGGTTAAAAAAAAAGTACGATAAAACGTAAGAGTGATGGTGAGATCGCGCGGAGTCTCGACCGAAAAAGAAAAAGGAAAAAGAATCGTGCACGGTTCAAATTCATTGCGATTGATTGTAATAATGTTCGGTCGGGACTTCGCGGATGAGAGAAAGAGATCTTAAGGACTTTCAAATTGTAACTATCTGTGTTTTAGTGATGAACCTGCGAGTGCGACCTGAAGTTTTGAGGATGTTGTTAATTTCGATAAATCGATATTTAGATTTCATAGAGCTCTATCAATATCACACACACACACGGCTATGTGTAGACACGAAAATAGGCAAAACTAAACCAGAGGACGTATCAGTTGAAAACGGAAGTATCTCGCGTACGAGTTCTCCGATTTTTCTTTCCACTCGCATTCGAAAATTTTAGGTCTCCCCTTCTTCCGCAGGTTAAATTTTTTTTGCAAAAGAAAAAAATACGCATTACACTTTCAAAGCTTTCGATCGTACTTCATGTCACATATATTTTGATTATCTCGTATAGCGTGTAAAGCTTTATTAAAAAAGTGTGAGACGAGATCGGGCAGAAAAGAGCGGCAGGTAAAAGCCTGACAAATCAAAATTGCTTCACTTCGCACGAAAATCTTTGTTGCGATAAACTTTTGTTCACTCTTTGTCCTCCTGATTATATTTTTTTTTATTTTTAGAAAGAGCGAGATAGAGAGATGAACAAATAGCTAAAAAGGAAAATCGTTAAATCGCCTCCCGCGTTTTACTTAATCCTTTAATCGATTTTATAACGCAACTGTACTACTATTTATTAAAAGAAGAAAAACTTATTTATTGTTTAGAGATCTGACTAAATTGCAAAACGTTCTAATTATCGTAAGTTATCTATTACTATTTAGTAACGAGATAGGGCAGAGCGATGCATTCTTTCTCTACTTTTGGAGTTTTCGAGAAAACTCTATCGTGTAAAAAAGGTGAAACGAAGTACAGCTACAGTGATAAATACGATCGTCGTATCGAATCTGTATGCAGCTATTATATTATATTATATTTAGTTAAGCGTTAATTAAATGACATACGAGCGCGTTGTTTTGATCCTTACTCTCTACAACTCTTTTTACAGCGAACTCTGTCAAAGTACCTGCTTCGAAAAAACGAAAATGATAAAATCTGCGAAAAAAAAGGGAAAGCATTACAGGTACCGTCCCATATATTATATACAAGTCACAGAGACACGCGCACATACACACTCACACCCACATTTACAGAAACACACACGCATCGCATAACCATCGCATACACATACGTACATACGATAATTTATATACACTCGCCGAGCTGAGTTTTCATAAAAATTGGTTAAGCGAATCGCCTCCGTGTGTCTTCGATTTATTGTATAAAGAAAAATGCAAGAAAAAAAAGCAAGCAAAAAGTTACTGTCAACAAATTTTGGGACATGTCTAAAACATTTTTCCTATGGTGTTGTCAAGACGATGTTGAATGTAAATAAGATATAATAAATAATATACCTTATACGATGTAAATTGCGCGAGGAATTCATTTTTTCCCTATTATCCCCCCACATCATCAAATGCTTTAATTGCTCATAACTGTTATTGTAGTTCGTATAATGTTTATTACATATTTATATATAAATTTATATATATCATAAATAATTATCATTAATAATAGAATAAAATATAAAATAAAAATATTTTAAAGACTCACCCAACCGATGCGTAGCAGCGGAGTATACAAACGTTGACCTGTAAGATAAAAAAAAATACAAATTAGAGCAAAATAATATTTCAAGCATAATTATTATATGCATTGCATCTTTTATTTATTAAAAAATAAATAATAAATAAACAACACGAATAAATAATAAATACCAAAATAAATGAAAATTATTTACTTCACAGTTGCTCCGCCGTTGCCTGATGCCCCCCGGGCCTCCTCCTCCTCTCAGTAGTCCATCGGTGGCTGCTCCTTCATAGCACGCGTAAAAACGATTAATTATAATCGCAGGCACATTGCTCGGCGGAATACAATCGCGCGACACTTTTTACGACACTCTCGGCATTAAACGCACTCCCGTCGCGCATTACAATAACCGCGCGACATTTTTCACAACACTCTCGACTTTGTCGTTATCACGGTGGTCGCACGATACTTTACATAGCATTCGCGACGCATACTTTATACATGCTTTATTACGTTATAGTAACCGCGCGATACTGTACGAAACTCCCGACGCGCAACTTTGTCGTTATCACGCTGAAAAGCTACTGTCAATCATTTTTGAAACATATCTAAAACATTTTTGCTATGGTGTCAAGACAATGTTGAATATAAATAAAATATAATAAATAATGTACATTATGCGACGTATATTGCGAATAATACATCTTCTCCTTATATCTCTGCGTTATTATCAAACGCTTTAATTATTTATTTATATATAAATTTATATATAAATATGTATATATATATATATATATATATCATAAAGAATTATTATTAAATAGCAGAATAAATTACAAATTAAAAATAATTTAAAGACTCACTCAACCGATGCGCAGCAGCGGAGTATACAAACGTTGACCTGTAAAATAAAAACAAATTAGAGCAAAATAATATTTTAAGATTAATTACTGCATGTATTGAATTTTTTATTTATTAGCAAATAAATAAATAATAAATAAACAACACAAATAAATAATAAATATCAAAATAAATAAAAATTATTTACCTCACGGTTGCTCCGCCGTTGCCTGATGTCCCCCAGACTTCCCTCCGGACTTAATCGGCAAAATACAATTGCGCGACACCTTTATGATACTCTCAACATTAAACGCACTCCTGTCGCGCATTACAATAACCGCGCGACATTCTTACATTTTTCACGACATTCCCAACGTGAAACTTTGTCGTTATCGCGATGATCGCGCGATGCTTCTCACGGTACTCTCGATGCATACTTTATCTCGTTACGATAATCACGCGAGACTATACAACACTCTCGATGCGCATTTTCTCGTAATATGAAAGGAATAACACGAAAATTACATGCACGGATGGTACGAATGCGTTCGACACTCGGCGACGTTAGAAAAGAAAATAAATGCGGAATAAACTGCAAAGAGAAATTGAATATAGCGCGATCAACTTCACGATATTGCTGGAACAGTACTACACCCATGTTTTTTCAATTACACTTTGGCATATTTTTGCACTTTACATGAAAAATAGTATACTCTCTTTTCAGAGCGTTTGGCATATTTTAGTATCTCGCATTTTACAATAAGTAAATAATAATTTGCAAGTAAATAATAATTTGCACAAGTAAAAATCAAAAACAATGATTCGCAAGTAAAATATCAACAAATATAGCTGCCGAACGGCACTTTGTCAATTGCTCGCGCAATAAACTTTTTTCTATCTGGCACAATATATTCATAATATAACTCCTTAATTACTTGTTAATTCGTGTATATAATGAATCTACACACCAGCATAACCGTAGCATATTGAATTCAGGTCCGTGGGCCGCTCGATTCGAAGACGATCCATCTCATACCGCTACATTTCTTTAATGGCCGAAAAATTCGTAAACAGCGCTGACAACTGCACACTAGCGCGACTAACAAAGTCAAGTTAATAACTAATCAAATTGTATGTAAAAAATTATTCTTGAATTATTTTTTTAGCATTTGCTATTAAAAATATTGATAATAATAAAAATTGAATAAATCAACAATTCTAATAACTGCATGTAATTATTTTTTACAATAATACAAGAGCCAAATAATTACCAGCATCATCGTTAAATCGACAGATGGAGTAAGTAGTATCGTAAGTAGCGCTAAATTGCTATCCCACTACGCGTGCGCAAAAATACGTCTCCTTTCTCATGTATAACTGCTTCCTTTTCCGTTTGGGTCAGAGAAAGGTTCGTGATATTTTCGTATGATTTTCTAGTATCCACATTGTACGTATTAATCATATGATGTATTAGTGACTTTCACATAAATCTGTTATAGTCAATTATGTGTCGCAATGTTTCATAAATTGATTTTTCTCGCTAACAAATAATTTTTGTGCAGAATCCAGAATGGTACAGCGGTTAACCTATCGGCGACGCTTGTCGTACAACACAAGAAGCAATAGGAGACGTGTGTAAGTATATTCTATTATAAATAATAATAAACGTCAATTTTAAATGAGTGTTATTAGTTTCTATATACAAAGATTTAATTTTACTAATCGTAATTATCAGTTAATGATAAATTCTGAGTAGTATGAGGTTATGTTTTGGTTTCTTGCTTTAAGCCATGATATAAATTCACATGTGCTATACAATAAGAAGTTTAACATGAATGATCAGTTTACTCATTTTTATAAACACTAGCAAAGTGCTTTTTAATTGTCAATTTTGTCGATAGATAGCATGTATTCTAAAAATATCTTGAAATGTCAGCATGAATATTTTCTTATAAATTCTATTAATTAGGCACAAGTTGAAATTAATTCAATAAAATTGTTTGTAGTGTACGTACACCAGGTGGAAAATTAGTCTACCAATATCTTAAAAAACCTAAGAAAATCCCAAGATGTGGACAGTGTAAAGACAAATTAAGAGGTATTCAACCTGCAAGACCTATGGAACGTTCCCGTATGTGCAGGCGTAAGAAAACAGTCAAACGTGTATATGGCGGAGTTCTTTGTCACAAATGTGTAAAAGAAAGGTATATGTATTATATTTAATGAAAACTTCTTAAATTTTAAATAAATTTTGTCTGAATACAATTGTATGATATTGTAATCTAACATAATATTTTAAGTATTTTGCAATTAAAAAATCAATATAATATAGCAACTGTCATATCAAGTTCTATATTTAAAAACGTATATAGACGTGTAATCTTTTTTTTTCTTACAGGATTGTGCGTGCTTTTCTAATTGAAGAACAGAAAATCGTCTATAAGGTTATGAAAGCACAAGCTTCGTCAAAGACGAAGAAGACAGAGAAATAATTCTGTGCTTTTTATTAATTAAATAAAATTAATAAAATTAAAATATTTGAGTTGTTCATTAACATGACCTTATGAATTCAATATTCTGAGCCAATTCGGAATAGTACATTTGATGGAATATTCTGATGATATATAATATAAAATTTAATTATTTTACTATAATTAAGTCATACACAACTGTGCATACACAGTAACACAATTAAATTAATTATAAATATTAAAGAATTGCATTGCACTTGCAAATACTATGAATTATCGTTTGCACGCAGTAAAAAATATATAATGGTTGCCTCAGTTATATCAAATAATTTTTATTTTTAATTGCATTAATTATTAATGTCGTTTTTAATTGTGGTAATATATAGTATCAACAAGATCTATATATATAATGCAAAAAAAATATTTCTATCAATAATTGATGGCTTTATGTCAGAATAACAAACTGCACATCTAAAACTGTCAAACATCTAACAATTTCCTCTTTTTGTGAAAATATTAAACCATGAGACTAATATGATGAGAATAATAAGATTATTATTAAAAATAAGTGAAAAATAATATGAATTGCAAACATTTTTGCTGAGAGACTAAAGATAATTTTATACTTTATTATTTATTGTGATTATAAAGCCAGGTTCTTACTAATTATATAATAAGTATTAGCAAAAGAAAGACAGCAAATGATATTAATATTTTATGTACTTAGTGTCGTCTATAAATTTACTCACCGATTGTTGTACTGCAGCTAAGCATATCTGACTGTACCCCCCCCCCCCTAAGCATATTTAGCTGTACCCAAGCATACCTAGTTGTTCTCAAGCATATTTGGCTGCACCTAAACAAATATGTGTAAAATTTTATTGATTATATTATACATTTCTCAGAAAACATGAATAATTTTCAAGTTTTTAGAGCAAACATAAAAATTATTTTGCGTATCTTATGACATCAAAATGTATTTACTAGCCCTGGTGGTTGTTTGAATTTATAATCCGTCCGCCAATATCGATAAATCACTACTATTTGCGAGCATCCGCAAATATATTCCGGCAACTTCCAATACACGAAACGCAAAGATAAAAAGCATTTTATGCCTCCATGTACATAAGATTCATCATGGTACGTATTTTATGAATGATGGTGTACAGACTTACAAAGCAAACGAAGACTTCTTTTGACGATCAATCCCACCATTATTGAACTGTTTCACTATTAATCACTAATGTTTGCGATAAATAATATATTTCGGCAATTGCTCGTCGTTTCATTCGGCAAAAATTCGCACTTATTTTGTACTTTTAATGAGAAAATATATAATTAAATTGCTCAGTGTTCGCGCTGCGTTTGAAGAAATATATAATATTAATTATTATAGTGGCCGACTGGTGGGGGAGGGGGGGGCGTGTTAATGCAATAGTCAAACAATTAACAAACAAATTTATCGACAATTGATAAACGTTATGCGCGACATCTTTTGTCGCCACAACAGTTATTACGTCATGTTCGCTCAGAACGCAAAGCGCGAACGCTTTGTGATTAATCGCAAGTTTTACTCGTTAAAAGTGCGAATTTGAATGCGAGTTGTTGTCAATAGTGCTAATTAAAACGATGGATGTTGTATTGAGACGAAATATGTATCGCGGATATTCGCGATTAACGTCCGAGACGTTGATTCTCATATTCGCCTATTCGAAGTATTGTGTGTACGTATAGCATAGGTGGATTAGTATGTTGAAAATTCAACTCACTGAAATTAAATAAGATAAAAGCAAATATTATTGTATGCGTATCCGTATGTAACAATTTCTATACCGATTATCAAGCAGTCATCGATCATCTCGTTCATTCACATTGTTTATGTAGCATCAACTGAGGTTATGTGTATGAATGCGTTACAATGTGAAGTACGACTTATATCACGTTTTGTGTATCGCAAATAGCAAATTTTGAATTGTTCTTCAATATATAACTTCAACTGCCACTATTCTCTTCGAATGTTGCTGTACGAATGACACCAAGGTGTTAGCGTGCGAAACAAACAAACACATACGTACGCCGTGACTTGCAATGTTTACAATTAGATCTAAGCCGCGTGAGCTATCACTGAAATACTTCAACATAGGAATTGTTTATGTTTTTTGTGACCTCAGTCTCGGCGTACGCGTTCTGTTGTAGGGTACGCCATATTTTGGTTTCATTCATAGAACAGCGGCGGCAAGAGATTATTCGTAAAATTCGTAGCCTGCGCGATCGCGTTTTTCGGGTTTTTCTTTCATAAAATGACAAAGTGTGTTTGTCAAACACTATAAAGATATAATATATATCTTAATCATTTCACTAAAAAATTTTAGTAAAAGATATTTACTTCATTAAATCTTTATCTTCATTTTTTTTTATTTAATTACTTCACAATTTTATATTTTTATTTTTCAATTGATTAAATTTTTGAGTTTTATTAATTAGATAAATAGAAAAAAATAAAGAAAAAGGAAATAATTAAAATAAGTTTATAAGAATACAACATATTTTTAGATTATATAAAGTTTTAATTTAAAATCGTTTATGGATCATGAAAACCAAAACGTTGATATGTCTACGTGCATTTTTATATGAAATAAAAATAAATCGAAATCAAGAGCGATAAGAATATATGTAGGCTCTTTCTTTCTTCGTCGTCAACTTTTCTAAATAATTTGAGGTAAGTCATTGAGTTTCATTAGTCTCCAGGATTAGATATTATATAAATTGGTGCAGGAGAGTAATATTCAGAAAACTTTCCAAAATGTATACATTGAAAATATGTCGCGAACATAAATTAAAGATGAACAGTAAACGTTTCACAAAGAATGAAAAATACATTCGCCGTTAATTGCATTTATTCTTAACGTGTCAATTTATTCTAATCTTTTCTAGCTTATCCATTCATATTTATTAATCACAATATATCTGCATTCCTTTTATAATTGGAACTATGTTGTATAATTGTCATATAATTAATTTGTATTTGAGAGACATTCTCTTGATCTACAGTTGTGAATATAGAACGAACATACTCGAAATGTTCAAGTCATTTATCGGCAAATTGATTTGGCTACGTAGTTCCAACACAGTGAAAAGGATGCAGGTAGTGATGCTGAACAGAGATCCGTAAACGTTCTACGGAAAATGCTGGGATAGCCACTTCTTTCAATCATTCTCTCGATATGCAATATGGAGCAAGCGAATTCCGTATGCATACTAATGTGGCATTCACTAAACATGCGTACCAATTCCGTTTTACTTCTCGTAAAGCCACATTTTAATCATGCACATAAATTATCAAAAAAAAAATAGTATTTTGCACTTCAGTATAATTTAAATTAAAAATTTGAATTGACTTTTCATTAACTAAGATATCAAAGTGCTAATGTTCAAGTAATAAGTTATCAAAAAGATCGTTGCAAATATCGTTGCAGTGACTATTATCAATCTTTCTATAATGGAAATTATTTATCATGAAGAATACCCTGCGTATTTCGTCTTATCTGTTTGCTAAACGTTTCGACACTTGTAATACCGTTTTATTATTTATTATGATTTTTACTTGTAACGACACTGAGGAAGACCTAATATAGGCAGAAACGCTTGTCATTTTTATAATATAATTTAATTTTTTGCACGAACACCTAGCAACGGCTCTTTTTGCCTTTTCTCCCAAGATTATTTATCAAAAAGACTTGCAAATATATTAATTAACTAACATACTTCAGTATTGACTAAAATACGATTTTTTATTATTTTTATTCGATATTTCATTACTAAAATATGTAATATTGGCTCTTAATTAAAGCATTGTAAAGCAACTAAGTGTGGATATATTTGTCTGAAGAAAGAATTTAAAGTTTTAAGTTTACAAGATAATTGGCGTTGAAATTGTAACAGCATCAGGGACGCTCCGTATGTGATCGACTCGATCATGTTCGACGAGTACGATGATATAGGTATTTGCAAAAACGTTCGTTGCTTCGGGGCAATTCTGTCCGGCGACAGGCATTGTGCTGCCGATTATGGCAAAAGGGTTATGTGTAAAACCCGTCGTGCGAGACCATTGCGAGTCGTTAGCCTCGGTCCGCCTAACAAGTGCCTTATTTGTTGAGTACACTTCGGTACCGCGTATGTACATATATGTATAGGGATCAGATAGGGTATACGCGCTATAATTTTCACCGTGGTGGCAGAAAGCCGTCGCTTTGGAGAGCGGTGAGAGCTATAAAGGCTTGTCACCTGAGAATGCGGACAGTGCGGCGACTTGGCATTAAATACCTGCACTCCCTTTGCTATGCGCTATGTTTGTCGTTTACCGTGTTCACTATTCCTAAAAAAATGTTGTGGCTAGAACCTGCCGTATTTTTATTCGGTGTTAACCTGTTTGAGGTCGAGAAAAAGACTTCGCAGTAAATTGAAACAGTGAATACGTAATTAATATTTATACATATTTTGAATCCCTTATATATCTTGCTCCCATCGAATTATATTTTAACGAACATTCTTTTAACCATTTTTTTTTTCAATTATTTTTCAACGAAAATGTATAACTAGTAGTAGTTTTCAAACAACACAAATAATTAACGATTGAAGATAAAATACTTCTTGCAAATTAAATTTTGCAATTATATTTTCCTTATTAAGTTTAAATAAATTTGAAGAAAATCTTAATTCAAAACTTAGATACAGATATACACTGTAAAAAAATTCAATAAATTTACAGAAATAAGATATAAAAATTATATGATAGCAAAAATACATTAAATAAATATATTTCCGTTAAATGTCATATAATTTTTACGTCTTATTTGTGCAAATTTATCGAATTTTTTTATGATATATCAAAATTTTCTCTAACATTTTTATTGAATAAAAAATGATTTAAAATTTTGCAAAAATCTATTAAAATATAATAAAAGACATTGCCGTATTTAAATAGATTAAAAACAGAAAAAAATCAAGCTGGGTAAATTTAACTAATTTTCTGTCTTTCTCTCTTTCGTAAAAACTTTGCTCACACA